TTCCGCTGTATTAGAGATTGTTGTAAAAGATCATTTGGATTTGGTTTGAACCAACTGACGGATTTTTCTCCCGTCAATTGAGTTTGGGTAGTTGCTTGTGATTTTAAAATACTGTGGCTTTTTCATGCCAACTGTTACTGTTGCCTGAGGGGGGTTTTGCTTCGGGTCGCGCTGAAGGAGACTTTGTCAAAGGACGAAGGATTTTGCGACATTTGACTGAAACTTAATTTGATATTGAAAGTAACGATTATGGTTCTGTTGACAGCTCGGTAACGTAAAATTTCCTTCGAGTTTCTACATTGACTTGGTTTTTAATGGCGACAGCTTTCAGAGCCAAATGGTTCTGTACCAAATAGATTCATCGTTTGGCGTGGGCCCTAAATAACAAATTAACAAGAAGAAAAAAAAAAGGAGTTATGGGTCTCATGGAATTTACAGAGAATCGGTAGAATAGAACTTGGGTTTCAAGGTCTACTAAAACTTTAGATTTTTTTTTCCCTTTTAACTGATTTGATTTATAGTAATTCAAAGATTAAAGGAACTTGAGACGTTTTTCTTTTTCTTTTTCTTTTTTTTTTTTAATTCACGACGAGCTTGTGTTGAAATTGGAAGTCAGATGCGCAGCATCCATTGACTCTCTCCCTGTCTCTGTTTCTCGTGGTCGCTGTCTTTCTCTGTACACAGCCAAAATTATTGTGATTTTGTTGTAGTTGAAAATGGAAGACGGAGGGAGTTGTAAAATTCGAAGGGGGTTTTCTTGTTTCGTCTCGTTTTGGTTTTGTTGCTGCCACCGTGCTAATCGATCTTGCTTATTCCAATACGCTTAACCACGGCGTTTCTGATGGCATCGGTCTGAAAACGCCAGCCGTTGTGTTCAATCCCAGACATGTACTTCCTCACTTCCATTTTTATCATCTCCTGCATCGCAGCTAAAAAATCGGCGCTAAATAACTCTTTCTCGTACCACGCGGGAGGTGCCTGAACTTGAACCATCGTCCGGGTCGGGCTCGCGACTGAATCCGACCCATACCCGGATGATGAACTGGATCCTATTCCTGGCAATGAGAGGCTGAGTGAGGTAGCAGGATCATCGGACTGATGATTCGACGGAACAACCGAACCGCTTCTTGCTAAGGGTCTGTACACGTGTGGCGGCGACGGAGACGAGTCGCTCAAATCGGATCCGGATGGACTACTCGGGTTGAACGCGAACCCGGACGCGACCGAGGGCGTAGCAACGCTCGCAGATCTCTTCAGAGGCTGATGCGTGTCGGCGTCGTTGAAATCTTCAGCCATGGCGGAGCATTTACGCTTCAGCGTGGAGTTCCAGTGATTCTTAATGGCGTTATCGGTGCGGCCATTCAACAGGCGAGCAATCGTGGCCCATTTATTCCCGAACTTGGCGTGCGCTCTGCTAATGGCGTCGTCCTCTTCGGGAGTAAACGGCCGGTGCTCCACCTGAGGAGAAAGCTGATTACACCACCGGAGACGGCACGATTTTCCAGATCTACCAGGAATGGACTTGCTGATCAACGACCAATTCCTCGGCCCGTAGCTTTCAACCAACCTCCTCAACGACTCGTCCTCTTCAGGACTCCACGGACCTTTAATCCGTTCTGCATCTTTCCTCACAGAATCCATCGAACAAAAATTCTCACAGAAGAAAAGATGAAGAAGAAGAAGAGGCGAAGGAAGGAAGCGGTGGAGGCGGAGCCTCACCCTGTTTGTTAAAGAAGCAGTGAAGAAGAAGGGGGAGAGGTTATTTATATGAGAAAAGAAAAGAATGACCGGTTGAGCCGGTTGCGCAGTAGAGGATGCTTCGAGGGAAGGTAGTTATTCGGATACAGCTGTCAAAGACACGTGTCGATAAATTTTCGCGTGCGTTTGGAGCGTAGCTGGGACCCGTTATAAAACTGCCTTACCTACACAGACACAACACAACAGTTATTTACGGAATTAGCAAAATTCACGGAATGGTAAAAACCAAAGAAAGTAACCGCATCCATCCTCCGAGTCCACGCTTTTAATTGGGAGTGAAAATTATGTAATTAAACTCCTAATTTATCCGTTAGTTTGGTTTAACTTTTAACGATTATTTATTTATGATAATGGGAAGGGCGGTGCGGTGAGGGAGCCGTTGGAAAAGAGGTTAAATTTAAATTCGAACGTGGTGTTAACTGTTAAGTTAATTTAAAATTAAAAAAAATAAAGAAGATAAGAATAATATAAAAGAGAGTACGGTTGGGAAATTTGATGGGAGCGGAGGACTTTGACCAAGACAGGCTGGACAGCATTTGGAAATGATTAATTATAAATATTAAAGATATTTACAAATCGCAATGAGTTGCTGAGCTGGCCAAGAACGACAAAACTTCACTAGCAGAATCGCGGGAAGAACGCCCTTGCTTTGCTTTGCTATCATGTCAGTCCAGCCTGTAAACTCTGTGCATAAACCAATTATCAACCGCCACGTGGAATTTGCCATCTTGCTCTAAGAAACTGCCAAAATGCCCTCCACCGCTTTTCCCACTTTTACCTGAGTTATTTTCTGATACTACGTGAGTACAAGAGTACAAAGGTATTAATTTTCGGTCCACGTATTTCTGTGGCTTCAACGTCAATATAAGGCAATAAATCGTATTTTTATAGAATTTCACAAAATATAAAAAAAAATTGCAAAGAATTGGAAAGAATTTTCATAATCTTTACAAACATATCCAAATTGGATGTCGACATTTTATTGATATTTTATCGATATTTTCATGAAATTGATAAATTCATCATTTCTATTGATATCACTATTTAAAACCTTACATAATACTTTTATTCATACTATAATTTTATTTTTATAAATAATTTTTAATCTCAGTAAACTCCGTGTCATTTTTAATATGATGTTGATGTGACAAAAAATAAATGAAAAGAGTATTCATACTATCGTAATATTAAAAAATTTCTCATTTCATGTAACTTTTATTATTTCTTCTGTTTTCATCCTCCAAATTAAATGGTGAGAAAGCTCGAATATATTTCAATGGATTAAAAAATATATCTTATATCAAAAGATCATAAATTGAAATTTTTACCCAAACTTTAGGGAAAAAATGGGAAAAATATCCAAAAAAAAATGACATTGAATTAAATTAATATAAACTAACGTTTTGGAAATAAATACAGAGCATACTTCGGTGTACTCCCAATCCATCTCTATCAATAATAACCATTGTCGAACTTGAGTTTAGTTTAACAATTAATTGTTGAGATATATAGTCAAATGAAATATTAAATACTCAATCTCTAGATATTGTTAGCTAAAAAAATTAATAAAAATAAATTGAAATTTCAGCAAGAAAACAAAAAAAAGTAAAATTTACACTATTAATGTGACAGCTACACTTACACTGTTCTCCCAAACAATGTACTATGAAAGGAATCACACTTGTGTTCTTAAGAAAATATAATAAAAAAAATTCAAATTGTAAAATATAATAAAAAAATTAATAATAATACCAACGGGTTAAAGCTTTAACCTTTTTAAAGTACCAAAAAATTTTAGTCAAATTTCAACCATTTTTTAAATTAAAAAAAAAAAACTACTTTACCACTTTTATTTTGGCTAATATTTTAGTAACATTTTTGAAAATAAAGTAATCTTTTAATTATGAAGCACATTTTCTAAACCAAAAGATAAAAAGCAAATTTATTATTTAATTTAACTTTAAGATTTCATCAACATTCCGATTTCTCAATCTCACTAACTTTTGTATAAAAAGAATCTGGCAGTGAGAATTTAGGAACGACGGCAAATCTAGGCAAAGAGAATAAAATATCAAAAAGTTAAAAAAATACTTGAATTAATAATTGCTAATCAGTATTTAGCAAAACAATTAATCTACAATTCTACGAGGGTATAATTATTTTTTGAATGAAGTTGAACAGGATTTTGAACAACTTTATTGACAAAACATTTGCCTATACTTTATCAATATTCCTTAATAATGTAGTTAAGAAACGACCGGTACAAAATATTAGGACTCTGTTTAATAATGTTCCCACTTTCATGCATAAGTCCACATGATCTTGTTGTTTTTCACCTAACATATTAATTTAAAGAGATACAATATTGTAGGTCCACCCACAAGAAAAGAAAAAGTTAAAATAACTCTGCTTTACTTATTTAATCTAACGAGGCTATAGATGTACTTTGTATATATGGAATTGAATATCCTATTTTACATTTATGGGAGTTTAGGTAATTTACATTTATCTCGACTAACTTTTCAATAAAATAATTACTTAATCTTGCCACTTTTGGTTTTGTTGAAATTTTACCTCTTAAACGAGGGTTCATATAAATTCTATTAAGCCCACCACTGGATGAACAAATATTAAGTTAATGACTTAAAAATGAAAATAGGAAAAAGTTGGAGAAATAGCTATAGCTTGTGTGGCCGTCCATGTAGCTGAAGAAGAGTTTTCTTTGATGTCTAGTGGCTCAATTAGTTAATTTATCTTTCGATAGGATTTCTTTGTATCGCTTTTATCAGTAAGTCATATTTTTTTTTTGTTCTATCTTGAATGATATTTTTATGTATCGATTGTTAGCCAGGATTCAAGAATGATATATTTTGTTGCATTATGTAGTTACAACTAGAAAAGAAAGTGATGCAAGCTAATTAGCTATTATATTCACCGTGGATCTTTTTCCCTAAAACCAAATGATTTTCTAATAAGGTTTGGTGTCTCTATTTTCTTCTCTTGTATGCGTGATTTTATTTCTCGCAGTGAACCTATCATTTACGCATGAAAAATCCCAACAATAGTAAACTTACATTAATATTTTAAGTATATTCTCCTGCATTTCTTTACCTTCTCATTTATTTCAAGGATGGTTAGATCACCCCATAATGATAAAATCTATAAACAAAATAGTTGTCTGGAAAAAGTTATACATAAACGAAATTTTACCAAAAGGGTAATCAAATCAGAGACATTTTTAATAAAAAAGAAAAAGGGGTTAAAGAGGTGAAATTTCATGTGATTTATAATAAGGGAAAGTGGTTGTGTTTCTTCTTCTAGACAAAACGACAGACATTGTTGTTAAACAAGTAGTGCGCTTTGTTTTATATAGGCAGCCACCAAACCACCAAATAAATTAATATTTCTCTAAATGAAACATTGATATATATATATATATATATATATATATATTTTATTTTTTTGCCTTTGCATTTGCATTTGGTAACGTTTAAAAAATAAAGCCAATAATTAAAGAATGTCAGGAAGGTGTTTGGAATATAAATTATGCAGAAGATAAGGTATTGTGATGATAATTGATATATGTTAATGAGCATTGGATCTTGGAAATGTATTTAAAAAAGGATCGTAATACTAATCCTAGCCGAGCCACTGTCAAATAAAACGGTGCGTTTCAAGTCTACACATTTTATTTTATCATAACATCATTGAGAGGCTCCATACCCCTGGATATTTTAGGGCAATCTTTTCAAAGTTTGGATTAATTTTATTTCACTAACTATATTGAGTTAATTGTTTATAAAATATTATATTTCAAATAAATGATGGGGCTTCAGACCTAGTTTAGGAATGAAGAAGTTACTTAGCTTAGGGCTTGATATGCAATTCAACTTCTCTATTCAGTTGATTTATGGTAGAATTATTATTAAAAACTGTTTTGAGATTTTGTCATACAAATAGTAGAAATTTTAGAAATTAGATTTTGAATTTTAAACCTTAAAATACATCATTACATTAAAAAATATATATAAAAACATTGATAAAGGTACTATTTCATGTTATAAACTCATTTCGTTTTTGTTAAAATTAAAAATAAAAATATAATATATTGAAAATTAAATATTATAAAATAATAATTCAACAAAATCTATAACACATTAATTTAATAATATTTTAAATTGAAACTAATTTATAAATATATATTATTAAACAATTTGAGTAATCTTTTAGATTTAAGATTTAGTTTTCAAATTTGCTACCAAACACATATATAAAAATACTTAAAATATATGAAATACAACTCTATTTTTTATTTAATCCATTGTTTTCAAATTTTTATTTTCAAATCACCAATTAAATGCATTCTAATATTTGACCTGTTTTTTGACAATTGTGATGAGTTTCAAGAAACTAACATGAACCTAGCTCAATATTCATTGACACTTATCACTTATCTCTAATCAAGAGTTTAGAAGTTACATTATCCCACTTATAATACTAAAAGAATATGAGTTTCAAGAAAACAAAATGTCTTTTTATGATATACATTTTGGGATATCATAATTAAGCATTGTGTGATAAATTTGAAAAAGTTAAACATTTTTTATTTTTTATTTTTTTAACATTGATTTGTTTGGTAATCTATCCCATTTTAAGTGGTAATTTTTTTTTTTGTCAATCTAAATTATTGTTTTGAGTCTAATAAAAACTCTCTTGGATTCTTTTAACCCATTTCGACCAGTCATGTGCTCTGACCAGACAAAGATGAATTTGTTCCTAAGAGAGAGGAATCAAATAACATTATACATAACATGATTAATAGTCTTTAACAAAGCCATATCGACCCTTATCTATGTAAATAGACACAGAAAAAAAAAATATATATAAATGGATGGAAAAACTTTTTCATGTCTTAAAAAAATATGTAATCTTCGCTTGATGGACAACTAGTCCCCCTCGGAAAACTCTCGTCTGTTTTACTTTTTGTTTGTTGGCTGATCCTTCCTCACCATTTATACTCAAAAATTTATTTCTATTTTTAATTTTGTTTTGCTCTCAAAGTTCTATTTAAAATGTGTGGTTTTTTAGTGTCTTCTGTGGGCCTTAATCATCTTGAATCCCACCTAATTTGTTAAATCTCTCTCTATATATTGTATTATAAATGAAAATTTTAAGCCTACGACATTTCTATTTTATTTTTCATCTTCCCAAACATATTATCTTGCGCCTTTTTTCTTTTATTTATTAAGATTAAAACTACCTCATTCTAATTCATGAAATAAATTTTTTCATTTCCATAACATTTTTAACGTGTACTTTTATTTTCCTAGATTGAATAATATGAGCTAAACTCGATGTTAACTGGGACCCATTTTTGGTACAAAATCAATCCTGACCGATTAATGGTCACTCCTAGTATGAATGACATGACTACAATGAATAAATGATATCAATTGATGACGTGTATGACAAATGGGAAAGTTTATGGTATTACGGGAGTACTATACTCTCTTCCATTCATTGCTTGTACATGAACATCATATTAAAAATTAAAAAAATTATTTCTAAGATAAAATTATAGTGTGAATAAAGGATGTATGATACTAACATAATACTGGAATTTCTTCTGTGAAATGTCTTACCGACACAATCGACCAACACATTCCTAGTGTGACTGATGGAGGGTTATGGAATTTTAGAAAAGAAAAAAGAAAGTTAAGTTTTCTTCTATTCTTTTTTGAATTTCAAGATTCACGTGTTGTGCTTTGAACTCTTGGTCCAATTAAGCCAATCACACTTAATTTTTTTTTTGGACATACAGTGTGAACTTAATGAGAAATTTTCCAGGATTACAATAATATCATATTTGCTTTGTTCCCACGATGATTTTGTTTTTATAAATAATTTTTTAATATGGTAGACTGTCCTCACATTATCATTAATACAATATTGATGTAACAAGTCATGAATGGAAAGGACTATAATATTCTCGTAGTACCAGAAATTTTTCCTCCATCATCGAATCACTATCATCTCCTTCCGCCACATGTCCGCTTATAAATGGCTGGCTCTTTTCCAACTCAACATATATCTCATGGCACATTAACTAAGCTTGCTTTTGTCTTTAATTTTCTTTTATAGAAATTAAGTTTCGCTCTCCCTGGCCGATTATTTTTATCAAGTTTTAGTTTTATTTTCAGAAGTCATATATATTTAGATTCTAAAAGTTTGTAATATATCATCATTTACGGACTCTATACTCTTCATGTAGAAGTAAGCATGTCACCATAATTAATTAGGAAAATCAAAATACTTCCTTTTTCCTCTTTAATAGTAAATCTAATCTAATTGTGAGATATATCACCACAATTTTAACACATTCTTCAAAACCAAAAAGAACTAGAAAATATAATTTTTGTAAATTGTCAAAATTATAAGTGATTATATGCTGAAAACTTAAAAGACTTTTCCAATGTTGAAGAATAACACATTACATATTAAAATATTATTGAAACGCAAAATAGATAGATATTCCATTAATTAAGATAATATTTTCTTACAAATGATATCCTTAATTTTTTAAAAATAAAATTCACGTGAATATAAGGATATGAAAAAGGAAATTAAATTATAAGTATGGTCTTAAACTTTTAGAGTTGTGTTTGCTTATTACTATATATTTTTTATTTTAATAAATTCTTCTCTTTTTTTTTTTTTTTACGTATTAAGTCTGCAATTAAACTTTTAAAGTTTCCAATAAGTTCTTGAACTTTAAATTTTATGTGCTACTCATTAGACACATATTGAAAATTATAATAACTAATTTCGAACCAGTTCTAAATTAAATAATAGAGGCAACATGTAACATAATAATTTACTCATTAGACACAAATTGGAAATTATAATAACTAATTTCGAACCAATTCTTAATTAAATAATAGAGGCAACATGTGACATAAAGGTTAAACAAACAAAACTAACGACTTTACTCTATTAAAAATGAAAGTAAATCATTAGGGGAAAAAAACCCTATCAAGACAACTTATAATTTAACCAAAATACAAATTGAAATGTGTCTTAGCTGAAGTTTTTTATTTAGTACTATATATAGATAGATTTGACAAATTGGGTGGGATCCAAAATATTAGCCGGCAAGCACTCACAACCCACAAATACTAACCGGGTAGAATTTAACTGTGAAAACTCTATCGTACTGAAAATAGAACAAAATTAAGTATAAAAAGTGAGGATAACTGAGGAAGAAAGGCAGAGGCAAGGATCATCCAACAACAAAAAGTAAAACAGATAAAAAGAGTTTTTGGGGGAGTAGTTGTGTCTGTGCAAATAGACACGAAGGAAAGGTTACATATTTTTAAAGACAAGAAAAAGTTGTTTCCATCCATTTACCCTTTCTTTTGGGTGTCTATTTGCACAGACACAAGGGGTCAATATGGCTTTGTTGAGACTATCAATCATGTTATGTATGATGCTATTTGGCCCCTCCCTTTCAGGGGCTACTTCTCCTAAAAACATATTCATCCTCGCTGGTCAGAGCAACATGGCTGGTCGAGGTGGGGTTGAGAAAAATCGAACGGGCGATCTTGAGTGGGATGGGTATGTCCCACCCGAGTCTCAACCAGACCCATCCATTCTTCGATTGAACCCTGAGCGTCAATGGGAGGTAGCACGAGAGCCTGTCCATAGAGGCATTGACATTGGCAAGACAGTCGGGGTCGGTCCAGCCATCGCATTTGCTCACCAGCTCCAGGCTAAAGGAGGGTCAAAGGTCGGCTCTGTGGGTTTAGTCCCTTGTGCTAGAGGTGGCACTCTTATCGAACAATGGGTAAAAAATCCTAGCAATCCTAATGCGACATTTTACAAGAATTTCATTGAACGAATTCAAGCATCAGATAGAGAAGGTGGAGTGGTGCGTGCTCTTTTCTGGTTGCAAGGAGAAAGCGATGCAGCTAGTAGTGACACTGCTGAAAGATACAAAAACAATCTAAAGAAGTTCTTCACCGATATCCGCAATGATATCAAGCCTAGAGTTTTACCCATCATTCTAGTAAAAATAGCTGTCTATGACACGTTTATGAAGCATGATACGCATGATTTGCCAGCAGTGAGGGCAGCAGAAGATGCAGTCCAACGGGAGCTACCGAACGTGGTGACCATCGACGCCTTGAAATTGGTGAACACTACCACCGCAGAAGGCTTTAACCTAGATCGTGGTCATTTTAATATCAAGACTGAGATTGCGTTGGGCAAATGGTTGGCTGATACCTACCTCTCCAATTATGGCCACCTACTCTAATCTCATCGTTTTTCCATCTCTAATCTGTATTAACTCTTTTATGTGTTATCTCAATAAAATCATCCTTCCCCTTCTTTCTTACCCCCTCATCTCTATGGAAATTCCCGACGGTTTTGCCATCTTAATATCAAGAAAGCCCACCCGAGTATCAATTCAATAAATAAAATATAATCAAATAACTAGTATTTTGATTAAAATATACAAGTATAACGTATATTATAATTTTTTAGTAAAATATTGTTTAATCTAATGTACTATAATTATAAAACAACGCTTTAAAAAAAAAAACGAAACCAAAGGAACATATTTTAATTTGATTTGATAAATATAAAACTAAAACAAAGATCAATATAGATTGATTCGATATTGGCAAAAAAATCAAGTCAACTCGCTTACGTCCGTAATTTAAACACAAATTAAATAACATGAATTTAGATTTTTCTAACTCTAGTTCTTCTTCCCCTCTCCCTCTCTAATATTCTCCCTCCTACTATTTCCTTCTCTCCTCTCCTAACAACTTTCTTATCCAGTTTTTAGTTTTATTTTCAGATTCATATACTTAGATTCTACAAATTTATTATATATCGTCATTTACCAAATTCGTAGTCTTTATTCGAGGTTAAAATTCTAACATGACACATGGATCTAAGGGACCTACGTCTGAGATGGGACTAGATGAATCAAAGAATTGTCCAAGTTCTCTTTGATCAACCTGAAGATAATCGACCTCGAACTCAACCCTAAACCCAAACCCGAACTCAAACCTAAAACCTAAACTTAAACCTAAACCAAAAACCCTAAACACACGATCTATGAGCTTGAATCCTTACTTACTCTTGGACGTTGGGATGTTTGTGTTCCTTTTGTGCAAATCCTTACTTACTCTTGGATATCGGGATGTTTGTGTTGCTTTTGTGCAAGTCGCAGCTAGCGCCTCCATTTAGGCTTGTCATTAATTCTATTGATGTGATTACTGTGACAGATCCAAACTTTTGATAGATGAGGCTTCACGAGTAGAAATGATTTATATAAGTTACCTATTCCAAAATTCATAAATGTATTAAATTACTTTTAGCTGTGAAATGTGAAATGTACTCTTCTCTTGTTTCACACTCAATAACAACTGTACATCAAGACTTTAAATAATACATCAGGGAAGAAAATAAAATATAATAACTACCTTCCAACTAATTAATTAACTCTTCTAATAAATTACTAATAACTTCACTTCATAGGATAAATATCAACTTATATATTTTGATTATTAATTTATTCCATAAAAAATATGGCTAATTTTTCTTTATAAATAAAAAAAAAAAAAGATGAAGCTTGAAATAATATGTATATTTCTTTATTTATAAGAATTATCTTTTGTATGATTAATTTTTTAAAACAATTTATTAAAAATTAAAAATATTTTGTATTAATTTATATAAAATAAACTAAAACAAAAAAAAAAATTATATTATATATTACTTATTAGACAACCACCGACATCCACAATGTATCAATACCCGAGTTTTACCCATCATTCTTGTGAAAATAAGCATAGGTTAAAGTAAAAGGGAAAAAGTATATACATAAACAATTATGCAACTAGAAGATATGATAACTAGAAATGGGAAGGCCTAGAGGGCCAGGTGTCAGCACTCCTTCATGAAGAACTAGGCAGCTGCCACGGCATACACAACGTGTCATTTTAGATGCACCAAATTAATTGCTATATCATCACTCTCTCTTAAATCTCAGTGGCAGCTTTTGAGAACTTTGGTTTTGGGAAGTCTCCTTCCAGAAAATTGCTATTGCTACAACATGCACCAAACGCAGGTATGTTGATCTGATTGATTGTGAATTATAATTAGATTTGTATTAGATGTAGTTTAAATTATACCATTTGAATTAAATTTTCTATTTCAATTATGAAATGGGATTATATAAAAAGTTTACATGGTATCAGAGCTATTTACATGTATAATGTTTGAAGGGGTCCGAGAGGATAAACGAGGGAGGGGCGGTGGAGACGAACGTGGAGACGGTGGATCAGCGTTCTCCGGCGGGGCAGAGCGGCCAGGAGCAGCCCAGAAGCGAAAACACGACGACGGTGGTTCATCTAACTAAAAGTAAAAAGGAAGGTGACGCCGGAGGCGTGTTGGGAAGTGCAGGCGCCGTCGTGGCTAACACCCTCCGATCTGCCAAGGATGCTATTTTTGGTAAGGGGAAGGACAGAAGCCACAACTGAAAGGAATATAGAATTATATATATAACATAACATGCAATTTTCTTCTTTTCCGGTTGCATGTATCTTGTATGTTATATTATATATGTTATGGGAAAATAATGGAGGCAGTGGCCATTAGTATAATTCATTCTTTTGTTTGCGACTTATATAGTATTTTTAGGAGAAATTTCTACACCACAATTCTGTTTACATTTCATTTGAGTTCAAGTTTGAGCTTAATTTGAATTTGAATGGTTCATTTTTTAAATAGGAATTTTGTAATGTTGTTCATTCTAATATTTGGTCCAAAAAAGTTACGCCACACTATATTTTGGGTTTACTGGGCTCGCAATTGTGGGTCAAACAAACATTTGGGTCTGTTTCCACTGTTCTTTGGATTTGGGTCAGCAATTTTGATGAGCCGTCTGATCCCAGCCCATTGGGCTTTAATTGAAATATCACTATTGCTGGGTCGATGTAGAGTTTTTTCTTCTTTTCTTTTAAAAGAACCAATCAATATTTTAAGAACATCGAATACAGTTTAAGTAAATGTGAAAAACCTATAATCAATAAATTAGAAACTTCAATTGTGGTGTTTATCTAATTTTAATATTTAAGTAGAATTCAATCGAGCTTCCGAAAAATTATAACGTTCATTTCTATATTCCTAAATTTAGAACGTAAGAAAATTACTGGATACGGTGAACACAAATTATTAAGACAAAGTAAATGGATACAAATTTTGGAGAGAGAATTGAAAAAAGTCGAACGAAAATTTATGCAATTCTTTTTTTTAGTATGAGGGTGTGATGATTTATCTTCGACCTCAAGAATTTAGAACATGTTAGTAAATTTAAAGCTTGCATATATTAGTGAAAGATGTAGCTAAATCATCGTAGAATGAGTTTAATAAATATGTTAAAAGTAATACAACTAAACAAAAAGTGTATGATATAGTCGTTGACATATTCTCAATTGGTACTGTGAGATGAAATTATTTGTTGTAAATGTGAGATTTGCAATAAATTAATAAAGAACAAAAGCAATCAATTCTCCTTTTGAAGGGGGGAAAATCAATTCAGGATTTAAATAGGGATGTTGCTGATCTTTAATCTAGGTCCAAAACTTTGTCATATAAAGTAACAGTAATCAATAGGGATGAAATTATTTGGAGCAATTAATGCATCATTTAAGAGAGGGAGAGAAAGAAAAGGAAAGTAGAGTTAGAGTTGACTTAATAGAATTTAGCAGAATTACCATTTAGATTATTTGAAAATGGGAAGGGTAAGATAAAGATATATATATAAGGAGGAGAATGATTGAGATGTGGCACTGAAAATGATATGGAAACAAAAACAAAATAGAAAAGGGTAATAGAAAGGCTACACAAAAGCCAAACATTAGGGTGCCAAATAACATAAATACAAATTTAATGTGAAATGGGGACAATTGAGACCCTATTCTTTTGAATTGTCCCTTTCTAACTTCTCAGCCTCGGGAGAAGCTACCAATACTAATACTTTACCCCTGCAACTACTAACCTCAAATTTCACCCACTGTCGCCTATGAGCTGACTTGGTAAATCATATATTTCCGATCAAAAGATTGTAGCTTCGAATTCATCCACCGTCACCTATAAACTGACTGATTAAATAAAAAATGTTGTAGGTTCGAATTCCTCCGCTACGAGGTTCTGTCCCTCCCCTTCTATGTTTTTATTTACGCTCAAATTTCACCCCACCATCACCTTACCTGAACATAGTTCAATTTGTTAAACTATATATTTCTAATCAACCGGCTGTGGCCTGTGGGTTCGACTGGTTGTGGTTCGAATTTCTCTGCTACGAAGTTTTGTCCCTCTCCCTCTGTGTTTTTATTCTCGATTCCCTGATGATAATTTTGACCTTACTTGATTGGTGGGATTCATAAATATCTAGGCTATTTTAAAAATACATATATAATAGAATATTAAAAATATTTATAAAATTAGTTTGGATTATTTTAGTTTTACAAATATTTTTAGTATTATTGCAATGGACTTGAGTGCGTCTCTCCCCCACCGCACGGCGCACGCGGCTGTCTTTAAATTTGCCCGTTTCTACAAGGAAAAATTCCGCTGCTTCCTGTCCATCATTTCACCACGTCGGCCAGGCCCATTTATTTGAAGCCCACTTTTCCAGCAATAACAGCCAGCTATAAATTATAAATTATATATCTTAAATTTTTAATATGAGTAATTAATTTCTTATATATATATATATATATATTTAACAGTAAATTAACTTCTTATATGGTGACAATTAAACCTTATCATATTGATTCTCAAAAAAGAACCAGCTTGTATAGGTTTTACTTTGTGCTAAACCTATTATCGTAACTATATAATTATTAACATATT